AGTGTGTGTGTGTGTGTGTGTGTGTGTGTGTGTGTGTGTGTGTGTGTGCCGGGGGAGGGGGGGTCGTTCTTCTTTTACAATTCTAAAATGTCGTCTCCGAGTCGTTTGATATCCTTGCCTCGTTCAGTGTCGCTTCCTTACGGTTTTGGCCAGTTGACACGTGTAATGTTTGTGATTTGAGAAAACAAATCCTTGCGCTTCGCCTGTCGTGATTATTGGTTTCTGTTTGTTTTGTTTGTATGTATGTTAGTTCGTTTATTTGTTCGTTTGTTTCTTCGTTTGTTTGTTTGTTTTGTTAACTGACAAAACATAATTGACCTGGTATATGATCAAGCCCAGATTTTGTGGTTCAACAGACTGTAATTGTCGTATCAAGTAGGGACAATTAAAATCAAGCAATTTTCATGAAAGTGTTTGTTATCGTGGAATTTAGGATGAAATGGACAGGGCGCATGGTCTCTTGATCTTTGTGCGAACTGATGTTACTCCCATTCCTCATTAAGAAATAGTATTGAAAATCAACGGTTGGCTCTAACATTTGTCAGCGTATCCGAGAGCCTCACTGAAATTATATGAATTATAGATCTACAGCACCTCAACGCACCGCTAAATTCGTGCACCCTTTTACTCTGTACTTCCAGCTTTGATCCGAATCGGAACTGGAGACGACTCTAATCAAACATCGCAGAGCACTCTAAATCCCAACCGGAAGCTGTACGTTTTCCCTACTCCAAACCAGGAAATCGTCTGTTGCATAAGGGATGATCCCTCACCTGACATTTTCAAACAAGCATCCTTGAAATCCTACCACGTGAAAGCTCCCAAGACCCGAAATCGAGCCTCGGCCCCCAGCCTCCTTTCCGAATGTCAGAAAAGGTATAAATAGGGCGGGCGGAAACCAAAACGTTTGATGTATCTCAACAGGTTGCTTTTACATCCGTAGCGCGACAGAGGGAGGGCTGGCTCTTTGCCAGAACCAAGAAGCAAAATCTAAAGTCAGAACCCTCCTCAAGAAGTCTGAATGTTTTTCTCACATCAATAAATGCCCGTATCTCACACAAGCCCTGTTTATTGACTTGTTATTGGACCTCTCCAGACGTTTATCAAAGCAGCACAAATCCTCTCAGAACGGATTCCTCCACGTTTGGCTCAGAGAAACGCTTTCAAGAGCTACCGCTAGACACTTACGTAAATGATGGAGCACCATTCTCAACATAGAGCGGTCTGGGATTTTTTTATGCTGTCCTGGCTTAGGTCCTAGTAAGAAAAACGTGTAAACACACAATTGAGTATCTTCGTTGTGCTGAAAACACTGGAAAGAAACCTTAGTTGCAGCGCTGGCGAGGCTAATCCTTCCACAACAACACAGCGACTGGTTTGAGCTTTCTACAGGCAATGCCGTAGACAGACCATATCATCCGGTGCAAATGTTTTAATAACAGTTTCACGGTCAACTCAGGGAGTGACCACCTCTGCTTCCATCACCAGAAGACAAAACAAAACCGCGCAAAACAAAATAGTCACATGATGTACTGAAGAAGTGACAGTGAATTCTTCCTGTCTAGAACGGGCAGTTTCAGACAGGTCAGACGTCGGTCGAGTTTATTCTTGCTTCAACAGATACAAAACCGCCAAAGTTTAATTCTTTCAAAAACAGCTCGAGGGCCCTTTGGCTTGATTTTTTAAAAGTTTTTAATGATCTTTTAGAACAATGTAACACATTTTGTTGATTTAGTCTTGTTTAGTTATGTAACG